TAATTAGCTTAACTAAAATATTTTTTTGAAAAATTGGAAGATAAATTAGATCTGTTTGTTGAAATTTTGACAAGTCTGGTTAAGATGACCAATTGTAATATATTTTGTAATACATATTTAATCCTTTAGTAATATATTTGATCCTTTTGTAATATATTTGATCTTTGAAATATATTTTTTATAAGTAATTCCTCTTCTCAAAGCAATCTTATGAAACTTTAAAATACAGTTATGAGGGAGTTAATGGAAACATTCAAAGAAATAAATTCCTTCTGACATCTGTAATTAGAGCATTCTATAGCATTTCAAAAGAGGAATATTAGTAAATTTTTTATTCTTTAGATTTAATCAAACAAAGAACAAGAAGGAGAAGTTATGAACAGTAAAGCACATATAAATATTTCATTATATTAACCTAAAGTATATACTGTGTCCTGTTGTTGCTTTATTTAATATCAAATAGACTCTGCATTTGATATGTATATATTAATATAGAACAAGAATGACACAATGGTTAAGCCATTGTGGTAAGATATGAGCTCTGAACTATCCTCGGCGGTTGCTTAAAGCAGAGAATAAATCTTTAGATAGGTGGACACTTTGTTTAACTCTAAATTGTTTGTTTATATAAAAGAAAGAAGGGGGTGGAATATATACAGTGCCTGGCTAACATTTTAATAACATTTAAAAAATAAAACACATTAACCTTTTTCAACTCTTTACATATGGCATTAGTTTCAACAAATGAGAAACCATTCCACCATCTTTGTGTCATCGAACTTACCTAATGTTTATATGCAAACCCGAACTTGATTACAATATGGTTTTATAACAGTAAATTACAAACGAAAATTAATTTTCCCCCTTAACCATTTCATTTTGAAAGTTTCGTTTATGTATATTCGCAATGAGTTCAATGTTTGGTATGGGGTTTACACATTTGATGTACAAAACGGTAACAATTTTTTCATTAACACTTTGGACGACGCACTGAAGTTGCTTTTGTTTTAAATTGAATAAATGGATGTTTTCTATTCATGTGTCGTATGAGGTTCCAAGTAGAGTTATTTTTCATGCTGAATTCAGCATTGCAATAACTGCATTTTGCTTTCAGTTTATCAGGTCTTGAGAAATGACACCACAGTTCACTTTCTTTTTTATTTGTTTCTGAAAAATAATTATTAGAAACAAATATCAGTTCTTTCAATTAAGCAAAATTTCAACACTAAGATGATGCATGTTAATCCTTCAAGTATATAGAGTTGAAAAATCAATGAAATTTTTAAAAAAAACACACACAAAAAAAGTTGTTTGAGTTAAATAAGACTTTTTTTTTTTTCTTCTGCAGAAAAAGAAACTATTCACTGCTTTTTTCTTTCTTTTTTTTTGGTAAGGAATTTTTAAATTTTAAAACAAATTTGTTTTCACTAATTAAAGTTCTATTACTTTGTTCAAAATAAAATTTATCCCCCATTTTTTTCTAGCAAAACATTTTAACCCGACACTGATATAACACTTTTATTTGCAGCAATAACTTGCTCCTTAGACAAAAAATTTTATAATTGCTACAACATAATTTTTTTATAATTGCTACAAACTTGAATTGTGTAAAACATTTCAGTTTCATTAGAGCACTTTTTAAATTTGCTGTCAGAATAAAAAAAATTTATAGTGAATAGGATAGTAAAACCTTTCAATTCTAAAAACTAATTCATTTACAAACACACACTTTATGAAATGCTTTTATAAGGTAGGATAAAAATTAATTTGAACTATGGTAATTAGTTAGACAGAGAAAACCTTCAATTTAGGGACAATGACTACTAGAATTAATAGATGCCTTTCTTAAGGTGTTTCGCAGGATATTTTTGACGTTTACTTCAAAATTACAGTTGCTAGGAATTCTTGAGCTCTTTTAATTTCTGAACGTGCCATAACATTCAGAGATGAATCAAAATCAATTTTTACAGCTAGTAAAAAATGTAGCACAATATTATGCTAATTTTTAAGAGTAAAAAGAGAAGGAAAAAAATTTTTTGAAATTAAAGTCTTGATTAGGGATTTGGTAATACTTTAAGTTATGAACTATGGTGAAGGATATTTTATGAGATGCTTTTGTTTTCTAGGGTCAAATATTTCATTACTTGGCAAAACTAAATTTTGTTTCGAGAAAAATTTCTTTTTAAAACAAAATTGCAGTAAAAATAATTTGATGAATTTCTATTTCAAAAATACAAAGTTAGAAGCGTAATAGTTTTAAAATTAATTCCATTTTTTTCTTTAAGAAATAAATCAATAAAGTATATGAACAAGGCATAATAAAAAATTCAAAACTATAAGATTGCATCATAAAGCACTTAAATTTAAACTAAAAAATATGGAAAAAGGAAACTTAGTTAATTTTGGTACATTATCTTAATAAATTGGAGGGTACATTTCATGATTAACTCCGTTCAAAATAGACACAAAATTTTGCATCAGAAGTAGATAAAAAGAAATAAGGTTTTATTAAAAAAGGAAAAAAAAGAAAGTGTAAGAAATTTTTGAAAATTGTAAATAACTTTTTAATATGTTATACTACTTCAAAACTAATTCTAAAAACACCAAATCTATCAAATATACAATTAATATAATAACGTAAAAAATATATTCCTAATAATATTACATTAAAAATATATTACGCTAAAACATAAGAATTACGAAAATTGAAACTACTTAACACTACATTATCAAACATGAAAACACTAAAGTTACATTATACTACTTATACTGTACTGCTATAAAACAAAACTGTGAATCATTAATAAAACATTAAACTAAAAGAAAACTACACTGTGATATAATCTATGTAATATTGCACTAAAATAAAACTATTATACAAGCAACTAAATGTACATTGCACTAAAAGCAAGTAAATAGCATTTAAATGTAACATTACTCAACATTTTCTGGACTTTAAATACCTCAAGTAGACATAACTGGTCCCTGAAACATAAATTTTAAATAAAAAAATGCCCTTTTTGAAACAATCAATCAGACAATGTAACAAGAATATAAAATTTTCTTATTACGTTTGCATCATTTAAATAAAAACCTTTATTACTTCATCAAGGGCGAAAATTCTTTGATTTTATCAGCTAATCCTTTTTAACTTATTCATCCTCAAGCTGTTGTGTGCATAGAAAGTTGCATTTAGAGCTGCATTCATTTCACATAGAGAAACCTAATTTTCCATATTAGATATAGAAATGGTGTACATGAAAGAAGCATTTGCCTAAATTTGTCCATTTGTGGGATGGTCAGAGGATAAAAAAACTATTTAGAGTATTTTTTAAATATATAAAAGTTATAACAAGAAGAAAATAATAATTTAATAATGCATATGAAGACAATAATAATTTAAAATTGTACATGCAACTTAATAGATTAATTTAGCTTCAAAGAAATTTAAATACTTTAAACCAGCAGTTCTTTTCTTTCCCCTAATTAGCAACAAAACACTAAATACTGATATTAAACACAAAATACTCAACTTTGTGATTAACGATGTAACTTTGTTATTAGATTAACAAGATAATACATAAAAGAATATTTTCATTTTATCATGATAAAAGATACATTAAAGAACATTATAAACGATTTATTCAGGACAAAGTGTGCTTAAATACATGCATAATAAAAATTAATAAAATTTTAAACAATAAACAACATTTTTATTTTTTGACACTAAAAATTACATTATATTTTTTATTAGTGCATGCAACGCATCATAATTTTAACACTTGAAGCTTCAAAAATATTTAGGTGAGTTACACAGTTGAATAAAAATTAAATTTGATAACTGCCATAACAAAAAATTTTAAAATTGTCATAATACAATTACCAAATCTTATCCAATCCACAAATGTAATTTAGGCATTTTAATTACATCCACAGATAGGAGAAGTTATAGAGTTCAAGAAGTCAAAATATTACTTTTTTCTATTTCATTTTGCTTGACTTTAAGCTGTTAAATTAAAATTTATTTGACCCTGACTGCAAAGCTATTAATTAAAAATTTGTTTTCATTAAAATTGCATGTTAAATGACAACAATTTTTTCTTAAGTATGATGAATCTTACATACATAGCTACTGTTTACTAATTAGTATTTAGACAAAGTAAATTTGAATTAATTTTATACATGAATATCTGCAAACGCTTAAACAATAAAGCAAGTTTAACTGTCAGCAACTCCATTAGATAGAAAATTAAACTATTTGTGAAAACATCAGAGAATAAAAACCATTCCACAAATTTTTTGCAATTTTCAATAAGGAAATACTTTTGTACAATCATAGAATTTATGCAACAACAATAATTAACTGGATCACTCTTCAATTATATAATATTTTTATTCAATAAACAAAAACAAATGAAAATCAAACATCAATGCACAAAAACCGCAATAGGAAAATACAGAGATAAAAAAATATAAAAAGAAAACTCAAACTCAAGAAAATTTTAGTTCAAAAGCGAGTTTACAAGGCTAAGTTCTTCAAGCATATGCAATTTTAAATTTTAATAATTTCAAAATCGAAATTGATTAAATATATTTTCGTTTCAATTTAATACTAAATTTTGACGAGCAGTTTTTAATTGAAAATAAGCTTTCTTTTTTTAAAAAAAAATTAACAACTCATTCATTTCATTTTTTTTTTTTTTTTATANACTCTAAAAAAAAAGCCACAAAAATATTTCACTTAGTGATATATTGTGCAAATATATGACTACTCAATACATTACAAAATATTAGTAACTTTATATTATGCATACTAAATACACTTTTCGTATCTTAATTTTTTCAAATATCATTTAAAAGTGTTCATCAAAATAAAATGTTAAAAGTCTGCTAGCATTTCTATACTTGCTAATTTAAAATTTTACAAAAAAAAGCAAGGCATAGCATAAAAAAATCAAAGTCAAGTTTATCAAAGTCATTAACAGTTATGAAAATTCCGTATGACAATTTATTTTAACTTTCCACGAAAAAATTTTATAACAAAAAAAACATAATGTCAATAAAAATTAACATGTATCATGAAATTCAAGAAATATGAAAATTTTGTTTTGAGATGCTTCATTTTATATATCAATTAAGTAAAAGTTGCAGCTATCAGTACTGTTTTTCAATTATTATAATCATTTTGAAGGACACATTTTTAAAGTAAAAAAATGAATTCTAAATTTTAAAAAATTCATTATTTCTCCTTTATCAAAAATTGATTAATTAATTGTTAAAGGGAAGGAATTTGAAAAAATAAAACTATGATTCTGTGTTCTGATGAGTATTTTTATAGCTAATATGTAATATACATAAAGTATAGTTTTGCAACTAAAATGTTAAACCATTTCTTAAGATATATTTAAGGTATAAAAATGGGAAAACTAAATTTATTTTAAATTGAAAAAATATCCATTTTTAGTAATTTTTCATTAGTCATTGTACAATTAATTGATAAAGAATATGAAATAATAAGACTATGTGAATAATAAGAACCAAAATTGTAAGTCTAATTAGATTATTGAATACTTATGAGGGATTATTTATGTACACACAATTTCTAAATCAAAACTTAAAAGGAATATATAAAATAGATACATAAATTTCCTATATCTTCTCGTATTTTCTAAAATATAAACATACAAAAGGCCTAGTATACTTTAAACAATATATATTTATATATTTTGAATTAAAAAAAGTTTCATATTTAAAAATAAATGTTATTAACTATTATGATTGTTTGTCAAACACCATGCAAATAAAAAGTTAAATAAAATTAAACAAAAACTACATGATTATAAATTATTAAAATAAATTTCAAAACAAAAATATCAACTAAAACAAGTAGATTTATTATTAAAATAATTATTCTTGATGGAATTTTTGAAAACATGTAGGAACTTTATCTCTTTGCATGCACAGTGGCACTTTACAAGTGGAACATGCCCATTTAGTGCGGTGTACACTTGTTTTGATGCTGCAAAGTGCACATCTTCTACTAGTCGATCTCATTGCTATGTGACCAACATTTTTTAGTCTTTTTGAAGCAGGAATAAAAGGCTTGTGGTTTTTTCTTGAAGAGCAGGTGGGCAGCTTAGCAGAGAAATCTGAAAATCATGAAATAGCGAAAAAATAAGTAATGTCAAATGCAAAATAACAACAATAAGCAAAGTGAAACAAATTACAGATTAATATGACAACTGCGGCAAAATAACTGATCAGCTAATGAAAGAAAATTGACAATCAAAATTCTCATTATAAGAGCATTAATTCAATCTTTAAAGCGAAAAAATGGGAGGGGTGGAATTATAACAATCAAAAGTAAAGAAAAAATTTTGAAACATGAATATTTTTAATGCCATAAATAAAAGCAACTTTCCATGTTGAAACTGAGAATTATTCTCAGACTCAGTACGGCTAACACATATTCATATTATCTAGAGCTTATATTTTAACTAAAAGAATGAGTCAAAAGTAACTTACAGTACTTTGTAAAGCTTACCATCAACTTTGAAGAGAACATTTTACAATATAAAAACTAAATTGATACTCTACAACCTCTGAATAAGCTCAAAACATGTATATTTTTTTATCAAAAATTAATTATAAAAATTTACAAATGCATAGTAATATTAGATTGAAATGTCTAAACGAGTGCATGAGTCCGTTTTTGGATAGCACTATACCGATCTTTATATTTAAATAGTTGTTGACAAATATTGCAGATACAGTTATGAAATTAAAAATGTGAGTGAATATGAGCCTATCACAGTGCACCTCTAAGCATTCAAAACAACTCTACCTTAAACAGCAATGTCAATGAGCAACAAAGTAATGACAGTAGGAAAGAAACTGCTAATCTACAAAAGCAACTAACTAATTAAAAATTCAAAAAAATAATGCAAAATTACTTTGAAAATTTTTTGGCTTTTATCAATAAATATGTTATTCAATAATTGTATTTGCTGTACAATTTTATTATTAAAAGAAGATAAACACATTTATATGTACAACTCCAACTTTATACAAAAATGGAAGCACAGACCACTGGTCAGCACTTCATTTCCATTTTTGATCTTATTTTATTCCTCTTTCTCGGATATTTCCCTTTTCGTAAAGTTTAGAGGCTGTTTTTTACTATCCATGACTTCTTGCCTTGCTGTTGTTTGGATTATTCCTGCTTTAATGTTATTTATCAGATTTGTGTAAGGTAAATAATTTATTTTGATTTCTATCAAATATTCTTCCAGTAATGACATTAGCCGCAGCTTGGTGCTCTTGTGATTTGGAATTGTTTAATTGTTTATGTTCTATTTTTCTTTTACTTCACAAATTTTTATCTTGTTTGCATTAAGTATTTTAAATTTTATTTTATATATATGTGTGTGTGTGTAATGAAGGCAGTTGGGCGAGCAGGAAAACAGGCACAGGATTTCAAAAATGAAGAATTTAATTTTATTTAATAATTTTCAGATGAATGACCAGAGAGAGAGAGCCACAATTTCATCGTGCTTCAGCCTAAATGTTAGGGAAAATCTTGCAAAGAAAATCCGTAAAATGTTTCGATTTAGGGAAAAAGGGAAATCTTAGTAATTCTAATTGGTATATTAACTAGGGAGCGCGATTCCCACACAGGGTAAGGGGGAAAATGTCTTACTTTTAATTAATGCATGCTTAGCCAAAAATAGATTAAATGACAATATTTGAATTTAAAAGTGTGAGAAAGCATTTCGTTTTGAATAATAAGTTAAGGAAAGGATATTCATAAAAGGAATAACATAAAAAAAATAATTGAAGCTTTTTATGTTACATCCCCCCTCAGGATAAAAATTTTAACTAATATCTAAAAATTTTAAAAATGATCCATTTGCAAAACTTTCCCTATGATCGAGGTACAATTAAAATAAAAAGAATCAAATTTGTAATTTTAACAAGATATAAAGTAATATGACTTATAAAATATACAAATTTGCACACATATTAAAAATAATAACATAATTAAACTGTTCAAGGAAAAAAAAACTTTTGTAGTAGCGCTACCAGCAAACTTAAAAGTTTTATTTCCATTTTTAATAGTTTTTGTGACTTCAGTTCAGTCAATTCAAAGTCCCTTGTTTGAAAATCACAATAAATTTATTCCTCATAATAACACAATTTAAATAAACTCTTTTATCAAGATATAAGCATTTTCAAAATGCACACATTCAAAAACATGAAAGATAAAAATATGAAAATACCAGTGATGAGATATAAAAAGACAAATTGACACTTTATGTTAAAAAAAAAAAATTTCAATCTGAAACTTTGACATCAGTATTGTACACCTTGTTTGAAAACAAAATTTTTAAAAAATGACACAGTGGTCATTATTCTGAAGTTTAAGACTTCAGTGTTTTTAGGAGAATTTTTGCTGGATTAAGGGGCTGTATTCCCCAAAAGGAGAAAAACAGTCCCTAATCTCAGCAATGATGTACTGGAAGATCCTAGTTTCAACAAAATACTTATCTTTATAAAAAAAAATTTATCCGTTTGTGGTTTTCACCACAAAAAGAGAAAAAAAAGACTATCATTACCCCATTTCTATAGGTAAATGCTGAATTTCAAGAAAATTTGAAGGGTCGGATCTTCCAGAAAAAAGGGGACAACAAGGTTAGCTTTGTAACAATTATAGAGCAAGTTAGAAATTCATAGGTTTTATTGATAATATACAAATTTAAAATAAATTAAATGCAAATATAAGTAAGCATTAAATATTTATTTTAGCAATATCTCAGTTTTAATATAATGGTATTGGAATAATAAAATTAAAAATAATGGATTTAAGAATCTTAAATGCTAACACAAACATTAACTCTTTAAAAAAAATTTTAAAAAAATTTATTGTAAAATCATACCTATTTCATTATTTTCTATGTGGGTAGGAGATAGGTTCCTTAGGGGTGGAAAGTATTTTCCATGAATAATAAAAAAATCATCTTTTTTGCCTTTGCGCTTCCTCTTCCTCTTAATTTTTGATGAACTTGGAGACATTGTATTTGCTTGGGAAGAGATTTTAATTTCTATAACAAAACAAAAAAAATGTGCTATTAAATTAAGACAAAATTTTTAATTCTTCAACAATTCTTTATTTTAAGATTTTTATTTCTCACTTCAGAAAAAATACTTTATGAGTTTTATTTAATTAATCCTCTTATGCATATAGGCCTTAGTTGAGGAGGTATATATTTTTGCTTCATAATGTTATTCAGATTGTCATTAGAGCTGCATTAGAGTCCTCATTTGGAGATTCCAAATAGTTCTTGGAAACCACACCAGTTAGCAGGTCATTTAAGACAGTTAAAAGAATATGATCTCATTCCAATTCCAAGTGGATAGTATTGGTACTTTTATTCACGTCGTACTAGAGCTGCACAGTGAACATTTGGTGACAATCCGGAAAACATCCCTGAGGATGATCCGGAGCACTGGCGTCGGAACCATAGGGGTCCAAGGCGTCCGGACCCCCCCAATAATTGGGAAGTCAGGGTTCATTATTTTGAGAAAATATTTCCGTTTTGTTTCCATAACTTTTAATNATCCTGTTTTACAGGGAGGATACATTTACACACCATCATAGCTGCCAACAAGAATAGGAAAAAATCCAGTAGATTTTACAAAATAATATAAATCTCATGTAACTGTTGCATAATACACAACATATTTTATACATAGGGATTTTTACTGTCATCAAAATACAAAAACTTTATAAAACTAATAACTATAAACGGTCTGCAATATTTTCCATTTATGATTGGTATTAGATGAATCTATTATGTTTACTCATAATTTTAAATAGTAGTAGATAAGTAAATCATTATTGATAATTAAAAGATTTTATAATTTAAAAAGGAAGTTCTGAATAAAAACTAACTGAAATTTTTAGAACAAAGAAAAAGAAAGAAAGAAAAACTTTATACTGATTACTATATATGAGGCTTGCTTCATTATGTATTAGTAAATTTTAGGGAATTTTTGAAAATATGCAAATACCAAGAAAATTTTTATTATACCAGTATAAAAGTTCTCCTTGTCTGGTAAATGGCACAAACTAGTAAAGTTGGCAGCTAAGTACCATCCTTACATCCATCCAAAGCTCATAATTTTGACCTGAATTAGAGCATGATCAATCCAGTACCCCCACAGGTATTGATTTGCTTATGGGAACTTGTGGGACATATATAGCATATAGCATACACCAGATACAGTGGCCCTGACAGATATAGCATACCCCAGAAGCAGAAAGTGCCTAAAACTGCGACGTACGTCGCAGAACAAACGAGGTCCTGCAGAACAATTTGTATCTTGAAATCTTGAATAAGTGACAGCATATTCCTGCGATAATAATTTATTAATAATTCATCGTCATTAACAAAATTTTTCACCTCAAAAGTGATTGAAAAAGTAACAAATCAAGAATGTTTGCCTTGGTTTAAAAATAATGTACAGTATCTGTGTATGATCCTGTATTTTAATAAATGAAAATATGTATTTTTCGGCGGAAGAGCCGCGGCGCTATCGAAAAAAAAGTTGTTTTTTTCCTACATGCGGCGCTTCCGACGAAATATTTTTTAGTAGCAAAAAAATTTGTCAAGGAAAGTTATTTAAGATGGAATAATTTTCTGAGAGAAAGACTATTTAAAAAAATTAATAACGAAGTCGACGAAATATTCGCCCATATCGCGATCTGCTGCAGAACATAGCCAATTCTTAGCAAACTTTTTGGCAGCAGCCTGTAAGAAAATAAATAAACGAAATAATAATTTTAAAAAAACATCGCATAAGGAGAAAATTTAAAAGGTATGCATCTTGTATCCACCCCCAGCTTAAGGAAAAATCGCAAGCTAGAAATCTATTTAGCGCCTTGGCAATTGTAATTTGAGCGAACAGAAAAGGAAGTATAGGACCCTAAATCC